AAGGATAAAAACAGCACAGGACTGCAGAGCGTTCTGAAAGCACTCACGCGAGGAAGTGGCACCATTCTCCGAAAGCTTCTGTTATAATGCCTTGAATACATCTGGCGTAGGCCGTCTGTCAAAAAACTACAAAAATGATAAGAACAATCAATATGCTCGTGTTTGCTTGTAAATGAACAAAAATAACGATCAATCGAATTAAAGCATTTCTTTCAAGAATGTAACGTTATGCTACGGAGATAACATGATATCAACATTGAAACTGGTATGAGCGCACAAGAAGCAAAGCAAACATGTACATGCTTTTGAAAAAAAAAATTGCAGATCAATAAAATGAGATAGTATACGAAGTGCGCGTGGACGATAAATTATCTAAGCATCTGTGTCTCATTTGAAGCTTTGGAAAGAGGGAAGAACTGATGATTCTCAATGACCTTCTTTCATAAAGTAGGCTTATATTTACAAAACGCAATAGGGTTCGAAATTTGCCAAAGCTGCGAAGACAAACGCCGCCGGTGCTCCTCCTTTGTCGCATTGAGCCTGGCTGATTGTTCGCGCTTATTTAGTGAGCGCGAGAGCTGCCCTTGCTTCGTCTCTAGTAGAAGGTGCAAATAACTCAACACGAAAAAAATGCGCTTGCCCCAGTATCCCAAAGTGACTTCAGAACAATAGCTCTAGAACGAATGACAGAATAGAAGACATAGGAAGGTGTGTGACACTCCTGAACAAAAGTCTCCTCGCATAAAAACAAGAGCTTCGCAACTACACATTCTCGAGAAGCTTATTTCAAAATAAGATGAGCGTAGCGACCTTTTAGCGGCCCTGACATATAATACGACAACGCAACTGTTGTTGGTTCCGTAGCAGTGTAAAGATGCAAATCCAGATGTACAAATCTAGGTTGGATACCTGGATATGTAGGATAGCGATGGGCCCTACCCCTTTGATTCAAAAAATTTAACGTGAAAATTTACTAACGTATTCAAGTATAATGAAAAAGATGCAATGTTTTATCGAAGTAGGATCCCAAAAATGTGTTAAATGTCTTTTTGATAACTCCCTTGGATAATATAAAAAGCTTCCCAATAAAACACAGCAGCTGACTTCAGTCGTGACTGCGGTAGGAAAATTCTTCATTTCTATATTACGAGAGAACATCCAGCATAATGGTGTACTGCTAGCCGATACAGAAATTTTGAAAAGCAACTGAAGCCATTTATGGTTTTACACTCGTGACTTGAAGAATGACAGTCCACAAATCCGTGAAGCACTCTGAATAGCTTGCACAATTTGATTTGATGATTCTGGGATCTTTTCTCAAAGGAACTAGTGAAACAGTAATCTAAAGGTGCTATTTGGAGGAGCGTTCGCTTACGGACCGCCACGAGGTTTCCCACTATTTGCAGATTTCTGAATTGAGTTAACGATTCTTTATAAATTAGATTAGATACTGTCGTAACTTCTAAAACAAAGGTTGTGATGAAGCGCAATGCTCATATGAAAGTCAGAAATTTCTTTACCCTGCATCGAAGCTTCCAACTCTTCCGAATATTTTTTCGAAAACCGCTTGGGCCTATTCACACAAACCATCTCGTAAGTTTTAACGTAATTCTTTAGTAATGGAGAACATCGTTTCGCAACTCTAAGCTGAAGCTAGCCCTACTGCGAGCCGTTCAGAAGAGCAAAAGCTTTTCATACATAAGAGTTACAAAAAAACGTTCGAAAGTTTTTACTATAAGCCTATAGTGATGAAGAGCTTTAAAGGCAGTGTCCAGGCAAATCTGGGCATATGGGTTTTTTGCCTGGAAACTGTTGAGAGGGTCCTAGTTAAGCATTGCCCAAACGGCAACGCAAATCCTTCATTCACGGCTGAGAAACTCATCCACAAACATTCCGCGGCTGCGCACCGACACTTGGGATGGCTCCCAGCGCGAACGTAGTGTTAAAGCGAGCGAAGTTGTTTTTGGTACTGTAACGGCGCAGATGCGGAGTTTTCGGGAACGGATTTCTCAGCCGTGAATGGACAATTTGCGTGCCTCCTAAGCAGTGCCTTAGTTAGGAACCCCTCATCAATTTTCAGGCGGAAAACCCATGCGCCAGATTTGCCTGGACACTGCCTTTAATGGACACCCTATGATTTGCGAAGACTTTCTGCGTACCTACACCTGTTTACTGCACATCTATCAAATATAAGCTGGGAAGAATTCATTTCTAACACATGTTGCGAGCGAAGTCAAGCCTATTATGAGCCAGCCGCATCCTAAAGAGGCCACCTAAGGACAGAAAGGGAGAAGGATATGGGGAACCTTATAAATGGAGTGAAACGGTTTCACCATGAATAGAGTCTTCTTTCATTGAAGCTCATTATGTGTTTTAGGGCAAATTTCGGACCAAAATAACCATAAGATTTCTAAAATTCTAACCTCAGCGGTAACATGATTCCTCGCCCCCAATCTCTCCGTTAGCTGCGCTGAACATTTCCTTCGGATCCTGCTTGAAGGAAAATCCGTGAATCAATAATTGTATTTTACGTTGAAAAATGTGATCTTCAAAAAAACGATAGTCTACTGCTGTTACCATTCTAGGCATAGTAAGAGGTAGTAGAGCTCTTTGAACCTATTCGGTAACATTCTCACACTCAAAACAACCCCTGACATCAATCGCTATCCTTTCCTTTACTTTTTATGCTTTCATGCACGCGCCATACTTGATCCGCTTGATCCATTCATCCACTTCGCTACTAGTCAAATCAGTGAACTGACCATACGGAGTGGCAGTGGATCGAGTGGATCAAGTGGACATTCGCCGTCTTTGGTCGGTTCGCTGATTTGACCACTAGAGCAGATGAAGTGATCAAGCGGATCAAGCGCATCAAGTATGGCGCGTGCCTCACGAGATAAATGGAACACCTACTCTTATTTCAGCCGTCGAGTAAGCTGTACTATACCGCATAGTTCCCATTTGTAGAATGTTGCACGAGCATGCGTCTAAAGGTTGAAAACTCTTTTGAAGCAAGTTTTCTCCTCAAAAAAGCACTCTGTGTTTTTCTGTAGATGGGAGCAAAGAGATGACCCTTAGGTAGTAGCATAAAGGCTAGAATTATTGAGAGTCGTATGCCAACTCGTTCGATTGTTAAAAACTTTCCAAAAACTTTGACATTAATCACTGTTGAAGCCAACTAACCGAGAAGCAATGGCAAAATAGGGAAGCATTGGCAAAATGGGATGCAGAACACAATGTGAGTTAACATGATTTCACTGTAAAATGAAACTGCGAATGGTAATGGGATTAAAAGCTAAGGTAAACATTTGAGATAAGAAAAAGGACTGGGAGAAATAAAAGTCGCATGATTCTCTATAAGCGTATTCGTGAATTTGCATTCGCGGTTTTGCAAAACATGCTTTCAGGTGACAGATGCTACACTCGACAACATAGATGCATGTTTTGAGCAAGCTTTCCAAAGGTACATACTTTCAGAAAACGAATGGAGACAGATTGAGCAGCAGTTAAAATAAAAGTGGATGATAAACATCAGGATACCGTTGTAGCATTTTCAAACGACAGCACATGGACAGTGCTTTTTTACACCTATGAAATCTGTATGAAAATGCATGTATTAGTTGACAACCTATTCGCAACAACCATTTCGGAAAGAAAAGTTAGCCCTTTTCCCGATTATTCGAATTCTATACATATTATGTACGGCCTTCCTTACCGAAGAAATTCCGGGAAAAGAGGTGAATTTAATTAACTTCCAGGTATTTAGAATCGAAAGAGAAACTGAAAATCCCATTTTTTCTTTATTCCTCGCGACATACAAGCACGCAATAGCTTCAGCAAGATGAATGTATAAAACTGCAAGCAGCTGAGTTTCTGACAACAAAAATAATCCTCCAAATTTTGTATACCTATCTGTTACAATTTTGCAAAAACTAGAACGTTAGTAGTAAACGTAAAATTATCGACTCCTTCACTCACGTTTATAGGACAGCATAGAAGTTGAAAAAAATCTCACAAATTTTCTCAATCTACAACACAAAGTTCACCAGTCTCGAGGTAGGCTCACGTCGGCTTGAGACAATGCCAAAAATTTTGATGTGAAGGCAAGATTTATCTCGCCACAGCGATCAAGGAATGTCCATTCCTTAGGGAATGATACTTACTATCAGATTTTCATGCTCAAAATCAATACTACATCTTATGCTGTGGTATTAGCGTTGCTACAGCAGCAGTGAAAAAAAGCAAAGCTTTCCTTATCTTTACAAAAAGTGAACAACGATTTCGTTTTCGAAAAAAAAATGGAGTAATAACAGGGATTTTCTGACAGAAGAAGTCAGTCGGGACCAAAGGTGAATAACTGGGCTACGAACTTGAACTCAGCCTGTAGAAAACGAGTATATGTACTTCATTTTGAGCCATTAAGAGCACAGTTTCTGTACAACATTGTATGACAGAGATGGGGAAGAGGCAAAGACTAAAAGACGAATGTTCACCAGCTTATGCAGTCAACTCGATAGTAACCAGATGTATTCAATATCTCCTTTCGCTTCGCTGGTTATGGCTTTCACCACGGAAATGACGCACAGCCTGACTAACGGGTAACTAGCAAATCAATGATTCCTCATGCTTGCCTAATAGGAGTAAACGCTCTCATGGCTGATGCAAATCCACTTTCTGTGGTAGCAAGAATTCTTGCTATACGAATTATAGATCCCAACTCAGAACGATACATTGAGTTCAGGAACCGAACTCGTTCAGGCAATGATCTTTACCAGATTGAGATGCCCAGATGAAATTACTGTTACCGCGGATTTGAAGAGTAAAGCTCCTATATAATTCCACAGCCTGCTAAAGAAGCTTCCATGCGCGATCCGTTAAGCACACAATGCAGAAAGCAAAATTTACGCATCTCTCCTGCATACGCAGCAGTACTTATAGACAACAGCAAATATGATGATTTCAAAATGAAGAAAACATAGCGAAATCAGAAGAAAACGAACCTCGTTTTCGTAGAGCCCGAGTTCAGCATTGTAGGGCATTGAAACGATCTCCATGCTTTCAGGGCAAAATGACGATTTCACCGTATTTGTGACATTGATATGCTTTCCACTGAAATCAAGTATGCTGATGAGATGTGTGCATTCGTATGTAGCGTGAACGAGAAAGAAAGAAAAGGAAACGTCAGTTAAAACGCTCATAATTTCACTGACTCATTCAAAACAGCAAAAACTTCAAATCAAGCAAACAATACAACAAACACTTTAATACCAGCGCACACCAGCCATCGAAAGAACCCTAGCTAAAATGCCAAATCTTGAGGATCCATGAAAGATGTAAAAGCAACTTCCAACAGCACGCTTTGACTGATAATAGAAACAGCAAACAAACGTCAAATGATCAATGAACCAGCTTCAAGGGCAGCCGTGGAGCGCATCTAGATCAAAGGAACAGGCTAGTGAGTTACAGATGATCTGCCCAAGAAGGTAGCTGCATTACCAAATCACCTCAGAAAATGATTGCAAACCCGGTGGTCGATCTAGTAAGATACAGGATGGACGAATCATGACGATACCAGTCTCATTTAGGCGTCAAGTTGCATGCATTTGGAGGTCCTCAGCACCCGACGCAATATGGCACACTCCTGAACAACCAGCTGCAATTTGGGAATTGCTAAATATCTAATTACCGTTCGCTGAATAAGCTTATGACAACAACTTTGTGTTCTACTAATTCCAGTTGTTGTGTCCCCATGTTTGACCCTAGCCATCGACTTGAACTGGATTTGGAACCAATAAAAGATGGGCATAATGGGCGGAGGGGGGGGGACTTGAGCATGTTGGGTACGAATGTAGTAACTGCTTGTTATTACACTTGCTGCACTTATCCATCCTATCCTCAGTATTGCACATAATGGGCAGAAGATTATTCAAGAAAGTTATCACCCCTTTCAGGATGAAGAGGAAATCTTTACAAAGCTCAATTCAGAGGGCAACTGCTTGCAGAAACGTCACTCTTATTTGCAAAGGTGAACGTTTGAGCAGAATGACATTGCGGGAGGAAATAGTACAGCGAAGCAGAACACTATTTTAAGGAGGTGATGTCCACTTCCTTGGCCAAATTTTGAGAGAATCTCCAAAAATCTCGAATTTTTTGAGCAGCTGCCCTGCAAAAATCCCTTTTTTTCACTGGTGAAAGTGGGCATGTAAGCAAGAATGATATCATGGGAAGAAATATTATAGTACAGCGTTCCGCAGAGCAACTATTTTAGAGAGCTACGAAAAATTTTAAATTTCGAAAGCAACTGTCCTGAAACTCCGCTTTGTTCTCGAGAAGGCGAACGTGTAAGCAAGAATAATATTGTGGATGGAAAATCTTCACCGCTCCGCGGAACACAACACTCTTGAGAGAATTATAAAAGTTTTGAATGTTGCAAGCGACTGCTCTGAAATTCCACTTTTCCACGAAAAAAATGAGCGTATGGGCAAGAATGACAGTATGGGAGTAATTTGTACAGCGTCCCGCAAAGCAGAACACTTTTTTTAGAAAACTATAAAAATTTCGGATTTTGCAAGCAACTGCTCTGAAATTCATTTTTCTTTCGGAAAGGTGAGCGCATGAGCAAGAATGATATCGTTGGAGTAAATTGTACAGCGTTAGCAGAGCAGAACACTGTTCTAAAGAAACTAGAAAAAAATTTGGAATTTTGAAGGCAACTGCTCTGCAAAAACTCATTTTTTCTCTCGAAAACGTGAGCGTGCGGGAAAAGTGGTTATCGAACAAGACTGTGTAGTCGATTCGTTGACCGCACGGACCGAACATCATTGCGGAGCACGTGCCGCGAGGTAAAAAGCTTGCTCCAGTACGAATTCGCCATTGTACAGGTTGTGTTCTCGCAACATTTCAACCCAAAGATATCATCCACATTCCGGAGAATTTTTTTTTGTGTGGACTGGCCGTAACACGTAGTCTGATGAATTGTAAATAATTCACCCGCAAATTTTCTACGGTTTCAAAACAGCAATTAGCCATAGATATGCCCCAACCCGCTTGTCAAGCACAGACTACCTATATGGGTCCTTAATCTTATATATGAAGCTGAATGTCTGTTTGTGAGTACTAGCAAGTGGGTCGCGGCAGATGCAATATTAGGTTTTATGACTAAAAATATTTCTACATACATAAATTTCCTATTCCCTTCTGAAACATTTTTGTGAGAAAGCATTTCAAAAAGAAGAAGTGCATGAGGAGCGATAAACTCCACAAATCATTCAGAATTTTTCAGAAGCCCTCCCATGACCTTGCGAGATTATGGCAGAGATTTTTTTCATTCACGCTTTCTCCGCACCCCTTCCTTCCCCCCCCCCCCCTCCCCCCCCCGTCTCTCACGGACACTCATTCGAATGATAGAAAGACTCTACCCTACTACCCTCTCGAAAACTTTGCTTCATCCAGTTTCAAAACATGCTCGTTGGGAAATCAGTAGAATACACATCATTTTGGAAGTAGGAGGACACCCATAACTATACTACAAAAGTTTTTCTCTCAAAATCAATTTTGACAGCAACAAAATCAGTTATCTCATGTGTATTACTACGAAAAGGGATCCCACCCCCAAAATCATGACTAATGAATAACCTTGTGCTATTTTGTCACGATATTTGGCGAGGACTGTAATCAGGCAAATGTAATCAAATGATATCTTTTGAGCACGAAATTTTCTGGAACGTATACATGCTCTATGTGCCGCTTAAAGGCACCGTCCACCCAAAATTTCGACTTCCATGTTTTTGCCGTTCTAGGGCCTTCTCATACCCCTGATGCCGAATATCAAGTCGGAAATCCGCGAAAACCATGAAAACCCCGTTTTCAGAACCCAGAGTACGATTTCTTCGGAACTTTGATTGGCTGGGCGCGCACGGATGGGTGGGACGAACGTCATGCCCACTCAAAGGGAAGGAGACAAGTGGCGAATCTGTCATCCGAGCGATCTTTGAAGCAATTTTCTCGCTTCGGAAGCAACTTTTGCCAGCGCGAGTTGGATAAGTATACAGTTGGGGGCCCCACCACTGATAAGCATCAAAATCTTATCGTCCCCATTTTGGGTGGACGGTGCCTTTAAAGGCAGTGTCCCGGCAGATTTTGCACCTCCACCTTTTTGCATGTTTTAGGCCTTTTCGCCACGTAGAATCCGAATTTGAGCTTTGAACGGGCTGAAAAGGCCGAGTTTGGGGCGTTTTCCTAATTCCAAAAAAGCAGCTCGGACGAGATTTTTAATGGAAAGTTGGGGGAGGTCCTCAGACGAAGACCCTGCCGCCTGTAATTCTTGCTTTGTATAGCATGCATCATGGGGGAGAGCTTCGTGGGGTCCCGCACCGAACACAAAAGGAAGGCCGTCCAAGCGCGCGCCAGTTGGGGCTGCGCGCGCCGGTTCAAGGGCCATTTTCTCGGCCCAGGGGGAACATCACCCAGCCGGACTGCGCCTGGAGGTCGGTGGGGTGACCAGGAACCCCACCACATGTATATCCCCCAGGACCCGAATCTGCCGGGACACTGCCTTTAATGGCACCGTCCCTCAAAGCCAGGTTGGATTTTACAGTGTTGCAATAGTAGACCGTCCAAACAATCTATCGGCGAAGTTTGGAGCGAAAGACCGCATCTGAAAAGTCTAAAATCACCCCAGAAGTCTTGCGGACCCCGCCCACCCACATAGTTCTGAGCGAATGCGGATTTCGAGAGCTTCGAAAAGAGCTCGTTTTAGTCATTTTCATGCACTGAGAAGCCCAGATATGTTTCACCATGACAAAAAGGCTCCGGAAAAAACCAAGAAGCGAAATTTTGCCGAGACACCGCCTTCAAAGAACATATTTATACGAAAAAATATCAAATTGCCCTACAGTCACCTGAGGAGCAGCAAATATAAGAACTGCTCCAAAGATTAAAAAAATCTATTTCCCTGCCCAATCAAAATGCCCTAAGTGCCGCTCACAGAGATGTCTATATGAGAAATTGTCCTACGTGTCGCTTACAGATAGGTCTATATGAAAGAAAGTGCCCTATGTGCCATTCAAAGACCGTACTCATGAAATAGAACTGCCTCACGACTCCCAGGAAAAAACAGCGGAACTGAGCATTTACTCACAACATATTCTCAAATTGCCCTACTTGTCACCTGAGGACCATCAATTACAAGAACTGTCCCAAAGGTACCAAAACATGCTTCCTTGCCTGAAGAAAACGCCCTACGTGCCGCTTATAGACCGATATTGTAAGCAAGGCGGCAGCGGGGCTCAGTAACACAAGTAGAAGCAAGGCTGGTCAAAAATAAACGCTTCCGAAAGCATCAGCGGGACCCAGTTATTCCGCGCTCTGTCTGAAAGCGCAAGATTATCCCGGTTGAATGTTTTTACAGCACTTTTTACCAAGAGTTTTACAAGAACATACATAAATTAAGCTGAATGCTGTTACGCAATTTGGCATCATTTCAAAAGCAAATAGGAGCACAGTATATTGACCAACACATTCTGGTAACAAGCCTGAAAAAAACATGCGCAAGTAACACACCCCGAACGCTGGCGACCCGGTTTCAAAGTCATTGCAACAATACACCCAAGATTGAATTTCGAAATATACCCTGGCCCTCTTATGAAAACATGCTTCGATCACTCGTTATGAAATTTGACTGTACTCCAAAACGCATGTCATTGGCAGCAATCCAAGGCCAAAGATCAGTATACTTCAATTATTTTTCCCGTCTGCTGTCTCCTCGTTTGCCGTGTTCCACTTATCTGGGGGACTAGTGGTAAACAAAAAATTGTAATATGTTGTGTAGTAATGTGTGTGCATCTGTTTGTGTGTACGTATGTTCCAAATAGAAATTTTTACTACCGATCCAGAGCAAACTTGGCACACATACAGTTCGTGGCGGGACAAATGTGGTATATTTTTCGTTATCGGTGTTTCTAAACATTAGCAAAAAACAAAAAAAAAACTACAATAACGCTCACGGAACGTGCAAAAGTTCCGT